ACTGTGTGATGAGTTTAAGGACACCCAGGGCTACACAATGAGACCATGTATTAAAAAATACATATTTTACTTTAAGTGTGTGTGTGTGTGTGTGTGTGTGTGTGTGTGTGTGTGTGTGTGTGTGTCTGTCTGTCTGTCTGTCTGTGTCTGTGTTGGTATATGTTCACATTTATATGGGTGTCCCATGGAGGCCAGAAGAGGGTGTCAGATCCCTTGGAACTGGAGTTACAGGTGTTTGTGAGCCTCCTGACATTAGTGTTGGGATCTGAACTCTGATCTTCATGATTGAGTAGCAAGTGCTCTTAACCACTGAGCCACCTCTGCAGCCCTGAGACCATGTCTTTAAAAAAAAAGAAAAGAAAAAGAAAGCTGCTCTTGAAATATTCTGACATACTTTATATGTGCCTCCTCTGTTTGCCCTTATAGTAATATATTTTAGGTGACATAACTCCATTTTGTGAAGGAGGCTTAGAGAGGGCCTCCACCTATTAGGTGGTAGAACCAGGACTCCTGTTTCAGGGTGGTGACGATGTCAATGGCTTTAACCACTGAACCGTGTGGTTCTTCTCCAGTCTTAATGTTTGAAAGTTGTCAGACAATAGCTGCTTACTGTTTCACCCTCCCGTTTTCAAGATCTTTGGAACCTAGAGGTTTGACTCAAAGTAATGCCCTTCAAACCGTAAGGTCAACCTGACCCCACTAACTAAGCTGTGGCCTTCCCTTGCTTAGTCAACAAGGGTTAGTGAAATGTTCAGTGCGCCCCCTGGAGGAGCAAGCCAACCACTGCACTAGTACAATGCAGGGTCTCACCCCCACACTTCTGAACAGCTCTGTCCAGAACTAGGTGTATCTCTTGGGCCGTTTTACTTCATTCCTCCATTGAGGGCTTGTGCTGGATATGGGATAATGTGTTCGTGTGTGCGTGTGCATGTGTGTAGACTAGAGGTATCTCCTTCAGCCACTCCCCATCTCAGTGACACAGTCAGTCTCACTGAACCTGGAGCTCCCAGATTCATCTAAATCAGCTAGCCAGTGGAGACCAGGGATCTTCCTGTTGCTGCTTCCCCAGTGCTGGGATTACAGGTGCTCACGGCCATACCTGGCTTTCTTTTAAACATGGGCTCTAGGGCATGGGACTAGGGTCATGTTGGTGTGGCAAGTTCTGTACTGACTCTTAACACTGTCCATTAGCAAATGTTTAAACTTTAGCCCAGTCAATACAAGATGTTTTAAAATGATTTCATTGTAGCCAGATGTGGTGACACACACCGTTAATCCCAGCACTCGGGAGGCAGAGACAGTTAGATCTCTCTGAGCTTGAGGCCAGCCTGGTCTACAGAGTTCCAGGACAGCCAGGGCTACACAGAGAACCCTGTCTCAACTCCCCCCACCCACCCAAAAGACTAACCTAAGATACATGAGATACCATCTCAAAGAAAGTCATTGAATTAAGTTAACAATGGGAACAGGTCAGTCTTGTTGGCATCGGTTTTAAAGTGTGAACACAGCACTAGCGAGCTGGCTCCACGGGAAAAGTGCTTGCCACACAATCTGAATGTGATCCCTAGACCTCACTTAAAAATAAAGAAGAAAAGCCGGGCAGTGGTGGCGCACGCCTTTAATCCCAGCACTCGGGAGGCAGAGCCAGGCGGATCTCTGTGAGTTCAAGGCCAGCCTGGGCTACCAAGTGAGTCCCAGGAAAGGCGCAAAGCTACACAGAGAAACCCTGTCTCGAAAAACCAAAAAAAAAAAAAAAAATAAAAAATAAAGAAGAAAGCCAACTCCATGAAGCTGTCCTCTGGCTTTTATGTGCTCCCCTACCCAGCACATACACACACAAAGTTGAAATTAAAAAATAAAGACTATAAACTGACTTTACCTGTGAGCTAGTATATTTGTTCAGATATGCTAATTAATGCATCATAGCTGCTTTTGGCACATGTACTTCCATCTTTCAGATGAATATGGATGTTCATTCTGCATTATGTCCGATTCCCAAGCTACGTAACTCTTTAGGATCTTTATGCTTTTATTTCATGCAGCAGTGATCAGTGACCTCAGTTTGGATGTGAACTTGGGTCATACTCTTACTCTTAGGCTATGAAGTATTATGTATTTTTAATTTCCCAATAATATCTAGTCTTCATAATTGATCCCAATGTTTAATAGTTCTCATTGAGAAGAAATCATGTTCATTGGCAACAAGCCATTGCCGTCCCAATGACAGTGCCTAGGCAGCTGTGTCACGTTAACAATAGTAGTAACTCTTCAGGACATAGTGAATTCTGGGAACTGTGATAGGCTGTACAGATTTAATCCTTAAAAGTGGCCGGGCGATGGTGGTGCACACCTTTAATCCTAGCACTCGGGAGGCAGAGGTAGGTGGATCTCTGTGAGTTCGAGGCCAGCCTGGTCTACAGAGAGAGATCCAGGACAGCCAAAGCCACACTGAGAAACCCTGTCTTGAAAGAAAAAAAAGTCTCTCCAAGAAAAGTTTTCACATTCGTCTTAAGTGAGGAGTCACCAAGGTAGTGAGTAATTGAGCTGAGGTCCGAAGCTCCTGGATATGGGAATGGCAGACTTCTCCTCCTCCCCCTGCCTGTACTGAGTCTTACCTTTTTTTCCTTGGAGTTTCTGGGTCTGCCAACACATGTCCCTAGTTTTCAGCCAAACTTAGGCTATATCTGCCCATCACCGAGAGCTGGTAAACCACAGCTTCTCAATTGTTCAAGAACGAGCTTGGTGGTCAGTTTGCTCACGAGTTTATCACTTTAAGATGTGATTCATGCCGGGCGGTGGTGGCGCACGCCTTTAATCCCAGCACTCGGGAGGCAGAGCCAGGCGGATCTCTGTGAGTTCGAGGCCAGCCTGGTCTCCAAAGCGAGTTCCAGGAAAGGCGCAAAGCTACACAGAGAAACCCTGTCTCGAAAAACCAAAAAAAAAAAAAAAAAAAAAAAAAAAAAAAGATGTGATTCATATAACATAAAGCCAACCTTTTAATCATGTACAGTTCAATGTACAGTGTATTTTCAAGGTAGGATCACCATCGCCATGTTATTTCAGAACATCTTCATTACCCCCTTTTAAAAAAAAAAAAGCCTGTCTTACTCTAGTTAACCGATATAACAAAATTCATCCACTGATGACATGCACAATAAGAATTTGTCTGTATGCTGGAGAGGTAGCTCAGTGGTTAAGTTCTTTCTCCATGTGGTTTTGATGCCTGTCCTGGAACTCACTCTGTAGACCAGGCTGGCCTCGAACTCACAGAGATCCACCTGGCTCTGCCTCCCGAGTGCTAGGATTAAAGGAGTTCTTACAGAGTACCTGGGTTTAATTCCTAGATCCCAAGTTGGACAGTTCACAACTGGCTTCCTCAAACATCTGCTCACATGTGCACATACCCACACACAAACACATATAAGCATAATTAAAAATAAATATAAAATTTTTTTAAAGTTGTCACTCACTATTCTGGAAGTCAGTACATTTGATATCCAGTGAGGACACGATCCTGGTTCATAGATATATGGCCCTTTCTCACTGACCGGGAGTGAATGACAAGGCAATTAATTGATTCTTTTGATGAAGGCAGAGCATGGGCCCCTTAATCACCGACCACAGGCCCTACCTCCTGTTACCATCACGGTAGGAATCATGCTGAGAGAGGCGCACACAAGCACGCAGCATAGCCAATAGTTGTTAGCAGTCACTGTTTACCCTTCACTCCTAACACCGTCAATCGGTTTTCTTTCTCCAGAACTACCTTTCCTGGGCATTCACGACTTCTCAGATGGAGTCACATAGTGTATCTCACCTGACCCCCAGCATCTGATTTGTATTGTTGTTTGCTGGTGGGCTGGCCTAAAACTCTTTATGTAATTGTACAGACTGGGCCGGCTTTGAATTTGTGACAGTCCTCCTGTCTCTGCTGCCCACATTCTGGGATTACAGGTGTTCACCACCATGCCTGGCCTTTTTTTTTTTTTTTTTTTTTCAGTAAGCATGATGGAGGGCACCCAGGTATAGAGTCCTACAACAGACTTCAGAAGCTTCAGAGGTAGCCTGGGGCCAGACTCAGAGGGATGGCGGCAAATGCATAACTCATGGCCATTCGGGAAACAAATAAAGGCCGGTTGAACGCTCAGCCCAAACATTATAACACCCTTCGTAAAACTCAGGGAACATCATGGAAGATGAGGCAGAAGGAATCTGAGAGCTGAAAGATGCGGAGGAGGGCTGGAAAATGTCCTTTTCTAGGTAGGACACAGCTATTGCGACCGTGAACTCACTGCAGTCCAGTTCCTGGCACTGGACAAGCACAGTATTGGCCTTGTCAGCAGTCGGTAATGGATGGGGTGGGGCTCATGGGTCTCTGTCCCTCTGTGCTGAACTTACTGGCTTACTGACAGATTCTGGAAGAGGGTGAGCCATTGTCTGTCTACTGATAAACCCACCGTTCCAAACCCACGGTCACACAGATGTTCTAGATAAACTCAGTGGGTCATAACACAAAGCAAAAAGGCGGGAACATGGGGAAGAGATTGTAGGAAGGAGGAGGAGGAGGAGGAGGAGGGAGATAAAAAAGAGTGAGGCTGAGAGTAATCAGGATGTACTAGACACACATGTGAATTGTTAAAAAAATGTAATTTTTAAAAAAGCATAGTGTATCAAGGGTTTGTGTGTGCGAAAGCAGGTGGCAGGACTTTGGTTTGTTATGGCTGAGTGACGTCCCTTTGTATGAATGATCCATCAAAGTCAGTGGGCCTTTGCATTTCCTTTGGCTGTGCGGCCCTGAGTTCATGTGTAGGTGTTTGTTTTCCTTTTCATGCTGCCAGTTCGTTCTTGGGTCTTCCTGAATCCGTGTGGCTCAGTGAGCCCCTACTCACTTCCATCACTTCTGTGTGAGTCCAGGCTGCAGCGACACCCCTGGAATATCTGAACCCTGTGTCGCGGAGGTATTTTGTAAATCTGTTCCTCTGGCCTGTGTTTCCTCTCAGACTTGCCCTTCTTGTGGAATCACATTTGCTCCCAAATCTGAAGCTGGTGCAGAAGGAGGAGCTGTGCAAAATGGCTGTCAAGACGAGCCTCCGGCCGGCACCAAGGTAACAAGCTCATGGCTGTTGTTCCTGTCACTGCCTCTCCTGGCGCATCCACCTAAGGTGACATTCCTGTCTCGTCAACTTCTTAGTTCTGAGAATAACTCCTCTTAGGTAATAGAATTCCGCACCTTCTAGGTGTGGGTTTGAATAGACCGATAGATAAAATGATGGAGGGGCTGGGAACATAGCTCAGTAGGGAGGGTGGAGCATGTGTTTTGCATGTGCAAGGCCCTAGATTTGATCCCCAGCACTGAAGAACAATAAAACAACAACCAAAAACAGGCTGGCCAGTTAGAGCCAACCCATGTAAAGTAGAACTGGATGAGATTCCTCAGGGGCAGCCAGTTCAAAAGGCTGGGGTTACAGGGCTGTGGGCTGGGCTTTATTCGGTAGAATGCAGAGGTGCCCAGGGGACAAAACACCTCCTCCAGGTGAGACATGCACCCTAGGAAGAGGCTCCTGGGGCAGAGCTAACAGCCTGGAGGCTCCTGGAGCCAAGGCTTTGAGACCAGGGCAGGACTGGAGTGGAAAGCAGAGTAAAGCCTGAACAAAGAGCTTTAGGAAGGCTTTGGAATCTGCCTCCTTGGGAGCCCCCCTCTGCCATTCTACATCTGCCAGTATCTGCAAGGGACTCAGATGGGGCATTTCTCATAGCCAGAGGCTCCCCAAACTAAGTCCTATTCATCCTTCATCCAGAAGCCTGGGCATTTCCTTCCCCGGCACCTTCCTTGAACCCCCCAGGGAACCCATTGACCTTCCCTGTAGTCCTCTTCTCCGGTAAACTCCTCTTCTTCACGTCTTGGATGTTCTAAGACCTCTTTTATCTGGCTGCCGAACACCCAGACATGCCCAGTCCCAAAGCAGGGCCTCAGGCGAAGCAGGGTTAGGGGAGAAGTGGAATGCTGGGCGGGAATAAATTCACAGTCCTGGGTGTGGAGGCTCCAGCATGCTGGGGGTTGGGTAAGAACCAGCGTGTGCTCCTGGCGACTCCTTCACTCTCCGTGCTCCTTCCTCTGTCTCGAGGCAGGCTTCTGGAGGACCCAACTCCAAAACCCAGAACGGACTCCTGAGCCCTCCTCCAGAGGAGAAGCTCACCAACAGTCAGACCTCCCTGTGTGAGATCCTGCAGGAGAAGGGACGGTGGACAGGTGTGAGCTTGGACCAATCGGCCCTCCTCCCACTGAGGTTCAAGAACATCCGTGAGAAAACTGATGCCCACTTTGTAGATGTCATCAAAGAAGACAGGTAAGACCCCACAGCCTGTGATGGTGGCAGTCTGCAAGAGTTGTAGATGGTGGCAGTCAGCAAGAGTTGTACAGCCTGTGATGGTGGCAGTCTGCAGGAGCTGTGGATGGTGGCAGTCTGCAGGGCTGTGGATGGTGGCAGTCTGCAGGAGCTGTGGATGGTGGCAGTCTGCAGGGCTGTGGATGGTGGCAGTCTGCAGGAGCTGTGGATGGTGGCAGTCTGCAGGGCTGTGGATGGTGGCAGTCTGCAGGAGCTGTAGATGGTGGCGGTCTGCAGGAGCTATGTCCCTTCTCTGAGTTGCCTCATCCATGTGTTTGCCCTCTGTTGTCATTATATTACTTTATTTTTATTCTGAGGTAGTTTCAAACTTGAAATTCACTATATACCCTGCCTGATCCACCAGCTTTTAGCATTTTATTTATTTTCTTTATTGTTATTCTATTTCTTTAGTGTGTGTGCCCCTGTATGCAAGTATGAGACGCATTGGAGGCCAGTTCAAGGACCAGATGCAGATTGTCAGGCTGGGTGGGAAATCCTTTTACCTGCCAAGCCACCTTACCTCCCCTACTTTTTTAATTAATTGTTTTGAGCAACATAGAAAGAAATATGTTTTGTGATATTTTTATCATTATACTTTGTTCATATTTACCGTCCCCCAACCTTTTAGGGAATAGTGGTTGACTCAGGGTCTCAATGTGTGGCCCTGGTTGGCCTAGAACTTACTATGTAGATCAAAATGGCCTTGACCTTGCAGCAATCCTTCTGCTGTGGCAGACCTGTGTGCCGCCACACCATCTGTATTTATTTTATCATTCATTTTTTTCTCTCCCTCCCACTGTTCCTTCTCCCTTTCTTTCCTCTTTTTATTTATTTATTTATCTATTTATCTATTTATTTATTTATTTGTTTGTTTATTTATTTATTTATTTATTTTTATTTTATTTTTTAGCCATTTGACAAGTCTATTGGGTACAGTTCGGTCCTTGCCCCTTCATAAGGCCATTCCTAAAAATAAGGATGTTGTTTTACAGACATCAAATGTAAGAAGTTTAGGGATATTCTCTCTAGCCTTAAATCCGTATTGCAGATTGTCAAATGATCTGTCACATCTTTGGTGGCACTTTCTCCCTCTAGCCCAGGATCTCATCCAGGCTCACATGTTGCATCTTTTACTGGTCAATCCTCTAGAGTCTTTTTAAATCTGAGACAGTCACTTGGCTGTCTTTCTTAGTCTTTTATGATGTTAACATGTGAAAAACTTACAGGCTGACTCTTTTTCAGAAAGACTTGGATGTTGAATTTTGTGAATTTCCCTACCAGACTCATGTTCTGCCCCCCTGGCCAGGCCTAATGGGAGTGACGTTTGTCGTGTCCTTCTCCTCATGCCATGTCCAGAGGACATGATGCCGATTGGCCCTTAATATGTGATAGGCATCTGGACTGGGTGAGCTATCACCAGTTTCTCCAAACTATTATTATTTTCTCATTAAGACTAATAGGCAATCGTGGGAAGATCTCATAATTACCCCACTTCTTGTCAGACTTCCTTGGGGTTAACATCTGTTGATGAGTCTTGCCTGAAGCCATCTTGACTATGGTTGTTCAAGTGGTGAATTCCATCTGCAGCATGTTGCCATTGGTATTCAGGGGCCACTGTAAAGAGGCCCCCTCCCTGTTCCTACTTTATCCACCATCATTAACCTGAACTCATGCATTCCTGATCTGTCCCAGCTTTGTGCTTACCACACTCAAAAGCTTGAATCTAGCCAGTGACCCCCTTCAAACTGGTGAGTGGGTCCTTTTGACATGGCCCCTCATTTATTTGACGTGGTCTCTTTAACACAACAGGATGGTCCAAGCTCACTTCATACCTTCCCTGCCCTAGCTCAGGAATGAGCCTTTTCTCCAAGGTTTCCTGGCTCCTTTTCATGCTGAATGGTTTTGGGATATTTTATTAATACTTGATTTAATGCTACAGTCTGAGCACATGCTCTGTGTGATTTCAGTCCTTTCATATAAATTGAGGCTTGTTTTTATGTTCTCATATATGACTTGCTGTGGTGAAGATATATGCACTTGAAAAGAATATATATTCTGGGTGTGATCAATTCTTAACTATTTTGCATTTTGCAGAATGCTCTGATCTGTAAGTATCAGTTAGGTCCAGATGGTTGACAGTACTGTTCCGATAATCTGTTCACTTGTTTTCTGTTGTTCTGTCCATTGTTGAGAAAAGAACATTAGACTCCCCAGTGGTGCTCTGGGAGTTAGTGGTAGCTAGACACCCAGACCATAGTTTAGTTGTAGCTCCAGGAGTTACAGATTCCTACCTGTTCTGGTTTCCATTCTGACTTGGTGGTAAACACCATGACCAAAAGCAGCTTGGGGAGGAAAGGGTTTATTTCACCTTACACTTCCAGGTCATAATCCATCATTAAGGGAAGTCATGGCAGGAACTCAAGGCAGGAATCTGGAACAGAAACCATAGACGGACATTGCTCACTGGCTCACTCCCAGGCTCATATTTAGCTATCTTTTTTTTATACAGTCCAGGCCCACCTGCCCAGGGATGGCACTGCCCACAGTGGCCTGGACCCTCCCAGATCAATCAGCCTTAAAGACCACAGGCCATTTGCCAGTCTGATCTGGTAAATCCCTCAGGAAAAGTCCCCCAGATAACTCTGGATTCTCTCAGGTTAACAGCTGAACCTACACTAGGACTCCATCCTTAGGCCGTGTTTGTTGGTTTGGAATTCGTGTTGAGTCACTTCACTTTCCATGAAGAAATATTGCAGTATATACCTGTTAGTAATTACACTGTATTACTGTCCTCTCATGGTTCATGCCCTCACTGTCACATGTGTTCTAGCCGCATGGATTAACAGTCCCTGCCCTCTTACCCCAGACTCTCAGTAGTCTTGAGTTCATCTACAAGAATTGCATTTCTTTTGTGTGTGGTTGTGTTTTCCATTTCTCTGTAAACCTAGCAACATTGGATTGTTCAACATTGTGACACTTAGAAAACCTGAACTTCACTGTATCTCTTTGAAGATTACTAAGTTTTTGTCTCAGGGAACAGTTTACTTATCTGAATTCAGATAGTCTTAACTGGGCTCCTTGGAGTCCACCACTCACGTGCAATTAAGATGCAGTTTCGAGAGTCAGAATTAGATGAGAGAACAATTTATGTGCAGGACCTGGGCTTCCACTTTCCTATCTCTTTCTTTCCGGGATTTATAACCTCATTGTTATCTGTAGTCATCCCAAACTGTATTTTCTAATTGGGGCTAACTTAAATTTTTAACATTTATTTGTATTTTATTTGTATGAATGTTTAGCCTGCGTGTATATGTTATGTGTACTACATGTGTGGAGGTGAGAAGGACACATCAGATCCTCTGTCACGGGGGTTATGGATGACTTTGAGCCACCACGTGGGTGCTGGTAACTGAACCTGGGCCCTCTAGAAGAGCAGTGAGTACTCTTCACAGCTGAGCCATCTCTCCAGCCCCTATTCTCTAGATTTTTAAGCCATTAAGACTGGATTTTAGAGCCAGGCGTGGTGATGCAAACCCAAAATCCCAGTGCTCGAGGGGGGAGTCTCTCTCCTCTCCCTCCCCTTCCTTTCCTCTCCTCTTTCCTCCTCTCTTTCCCCGCCCCTGCGCAGTCTTATTTATAGCCCGTGTGTCCTTAAACTCTTGGTCTTCCTGCCTTGGCCTTCCGAGTGCTGGGATTACAGGGGTTTCCATTGGAGGATTAGCCAGTGGTCCTAACTCATGTCTGTCTTTAGGAAAAACCAACTGAAGGAAAAGGTGAGACCCTTCCCTGGCTTCCTTCCCTTCCTTCAAGGATGCCTCCTCTTCTTCCAGCTGTCCTGACTACTCTCTTGTGCCTCCAAGCAGCCGTTTTTATATTTTCTGTGAGACCCAGAAGCAGGAACTGCCAGTGTTGGTTACAGAAGGGCCAAATGGCTTCAGCAGGGCTGACTGTGCCACCCGACTGCTGGAGTGCAGGCACACCGCAGTCCTGCTGCTGCTGCTGTGTTGTCCTTTCCCTCTGTCTATCTCTGGAAAGGCAGGCAGAGCAATGCGAAGGGACAGACAGACTTCCCTCTCTGGAGTCTGAGAAGATAAGTTATTGCATGTTTGTCACAGAAGAGAATCCAGTCTGCAGGAAGTGCACCACTGTGACAGGCACATTTGAGGCTCTCTCCCTGTTTTATATGACGTCAGGCTAATGGCTGCTCTATGTGGGAGAGAGATTACACCCCCATGTTTGTATTTGCCTTCTGGAATCACACCAATGTTCTCTTAAACTTTTAGTAATTCTCCAGATCATAACAAGGATATTGCAATTTGCTGACAATCCATAGAATAAAAGAATCACATAAATCAGGTTTGATTTCTCAGCTATTAAAATCATTGAGCATGATCACTTTTCAGGTCTCTCCTGCACTCTGAATATCTGACAATGGCCCCACAATTACCCCAGCTGTAAACACCTACTCCAGTAACACCGAGTTAGAGTTGAGGTGTAATTACTGTCAGTGTTCTGGATGACAGGAAGCTTTTGGAATTGCCTTCATTTGAAGCCTCCAAATCAGTGTAAGTCTTCTCGGCACCAAGATCTGCTGGCTCTCCGAAAAGATCACCTCACAGGATGAAAGATGTGCCTTCTCTGTCCTCCAGTCCTGGATATGTGGACTGTGTTCTGAAGCGGGGTCTAATAATGAGTGTGGTGATCGTGGTGAATTGTCATCCTTAATGAAGGTGAAGAACAGCTGATTGTGTCTAGAGACACAAAGGGCTTTCCTCCAGGTCTGCTTATGGGGACAGCACCTGTCACACAGTGGCTTTCAGAGGTAGCTTTGGTGATGTGCTCAGTGAGAGGCATCTGAGACGGTCTGCTGGTACTGATGGAGTGCATTGGTTGTGTCTTCCAGCCTGATGAAAGATTATTTCTTCAAGCCACCCATCAATCAGTTCAGCCTGAACTTCCTGGATCAGGAGCTGGAGCGATCCTACAGAAGCAGCTACCAGGAAGAGGTACGTTCTACTGCGACCTCACAACAGTCCTTGTTCTTTTAGGACACTGTTTGTTTGTGTTTTACCAAGTGGCAGGAAAGTGAAGGCTGATGTTGCTTTCCCACAACCAGGAAGCCCTGTTTCGGAACTGTTGGTGAATTTATCTTTGCCAGGGAGAAAACCAAGGCCCTCTATGCTCCTTTATCTTAAAGCTAAGCCGCATCCCACCAGACTGTTTCCCCATAGCTGTCGTTTCTGGTCTTCTAATGGCTGTCCCTTGGAAAGATGCCTGGTCACACCTGTTCTGGGATCTTGAGTGACACTTCTCTCCCTATGATGCTGTTACTTCCAACCCTCTGAAATGGGACCAAAAAAATCAGGAGGTCTGTACCTCCATCCAGAATGTGGGTCCATAGCCCTCTGCCACACCACCATCTTAGCACCCTGGAGTTAAAGGGTTGACTTCCCTCTCAGCTCTCACATCATTTTCCCCGGGAAACCATCCTTGACGCCAGCTGGGTTCTACTCCCCTGTGTCTTCTTTCTTCTTCCTGTGCACCCCGTGCTGGAATCCCGTCTGGTTTCTGAACCTAATGCTCAGCTCTCCATTGCTGCGCTCTAAATCCCAGCACAGCCCACACACCAGACATATTCAGCAGGCTTGCTTGAAAGGAATGGATGGAAGACCCTGGAACCTGGGTGGAGCTCGAGGTAGCAGATCCCAGCTCTCTTTCCCTTGGCCCCCAACCTGACTTGAGTGTCCCAAAGCCAAAAGTGCACCATCGCCAGACCCCAGGACCAAGAGAGCTTTCATTCAGATTTCACTTGCTTATTGGGCAGGTCTTCATGTTCATTATGTCCAAGCCATGACCCAGAGAGACCATAATGTATAAGATGTGGCTAATCTTTGTTTTATGTGGCTAGAATTGCTGTTCTGTCAGTCCCCCACTGGACAGTGAGTGTTATCAAACATTCCAAACACAAATCCTACAAGTATTTCCCTAAAGCAAGAAGTATTGAGCCTTGGCACTCTAGACCAGGAGTTGGAAACCTAGGTATTCAGGTGAGCGTGAAGTCCCCTGGCTGGCTGTCCTGAGTCTTCTCTGCCCAAGCCCTGGCTGCTCCCCCGAATGCTAATTAGATTCCCAGAGAGAGCAGTGACATCCGAGTGCCTCTGCAGAGGACGTCACTGTGGCAGCCTCACCTCCAAGATCTTAGGTCCTTTTAGGGAACCTCAGAAGTTAGGACCAGGCCCATGGCCGTCTTCAGAGCCTCTGAATTCCACTGGCGGCGGGTATTAGGACTCTAGCCCTGCGCCCACTTTGCTCAGGTAAGTCTAGGCTTGACGTTGGAGCTGACCAGCACTCATTCCCCAAGGCCAAGTCCTGATTTTTCCCATCTTGCCCAGCTCCTGGGGTCTATCTAAGGCTGAGGAAGGGAGCCAGTTTGGCCTGAAAGGAACTTGCACTCATCTGAAGTCACAGGCCTCTCCCTCCCACAAACCTCACCCCTGCTACCAAGGCTGAATGCCAAGCCCAGTGAGTAGTCTGCTGTGTTCTCTCCCTTTCTCAGCAGCCTCTGGCTACACATTCTTTCTTCATCCTAAGACAGGCCTGGGGCACACTTGGGAGTGAGCTCCTCTGGCTCTTATTCCCTAGGTACCTGGGGATAGCCATTCTTAGCCTCCACCTACACTCAAGGAGCAGTGGCGCCTCTTCCTCTCTGGGCTGTGGAGAGCTCTGACGGGGATGCCCCCACAAAGGGCCTATAGGGGTCTGGAACTGGTCATGTTTTAAACACGTCATGTGCTAGCAGTTTCCTCCTCCTAAATTCCCTGACACCATACATGTGCCTCTTTAGTAAACTCCACACAGTGCCCTGTTTCCTGTGCCTGTTATTCCAAGATCAGGCTACCAGTTCCCTTCAGACAGTGTCTCATGTCTACCCTGCACCCAGCACCCAGCCATCCCAGAGCAACACCCACACAGGCTTTCTCTCTTAAAAAAAAATACTTCTTTCTTCTTTTATTTTATTTTATTTTATTTATTTTTATTTTTTTTGGTTTTTCGAGACAGGGTTTCTCTGTGTAGCTTTGCTCCTTTCCTGGAACTCACTTGGTAGCCCAGGCTGGCCTCGAACTCACAGAGATCTGCCTGGCTCTGCCTCCTGAGTGCTGGGATTAAAGGCGTGCGCCACCACCGCCCGGCTCTTTCTTCTTTTAATTCTTGTGTGTTTGCTTTCATGTGTGTATGTGCATGCATCACATGTGTGCCTGGTGCAGCACATGTGTGCCTGGTGCAGCACATGTGTGCCTGGTGCAGCACATGTGTGCCTGGTGCACCAACCACATGCGTGCCTGACGCACCACATGCGTGCCTGACGCACCACATGCGTGCCTGGTGCACCACATGTGTGCCTGGTGCACCACATGCGTGCCTGGTGCACCACATGCGTACCTGGTGCAGCACATGCGTGCCTGGTGCACCACATGTGTGCCTGGTGCAGCACATGTGTGCCTGGTGCACCACATGTGTACCTGGTGCAGCACATGTGTGCCTGGTGCACCAACCACATGCGTGCCTGACGCACCACATGCGTGCCTGACGCACCACATGTGTGCCTGGTGCACCACATGCGTGCCTGGTGCACCACATGCGTACCTGGTGCACCACATGTGTACCTGGTGCAGCACATGTGTGCCTGGTGCAGCACATGTGTGCCTGGTGCACCAACCACATGCGTGCCTGATGCACCACATGCGTGCCTGGTGCACCACATGCGTGCCTGGTGCACCACATGCGTGCCTGGTGCACCACATGCCTGCCTGGTGCACCACATGCGTGCCTGGTGCACCACATGCCTGCCTGGTGCACCACATGTGTGCCTGGTGCCTACGAAGGACAGAAGAGGGTACTGGATCCCCAGGAACTGGAGTTATGGGTAGTTTTGAACCATGTGTGTGCTAGAGATCAAACTCAGGTCCTCTGAAGAACAACAAATACTCTTAACTGCTGAACCTCACTCCAGCCTGGAAAGCTCCTCAATAAAGGGTCTGTGCTCCCATTCCCTGCATGGAGGCTTTCCTCAGCTGTTGCTGCTTAAACACCTGCCTGTCTTACCCTGAAGCCGGCTTTCACATCCATCCATTCACCGGACACCTCCGTCACCTAACGTCTTTACAGATGTATACCCCTGAACTCTAAGACAGTAATTCGTCTTTCAAAGTGACTGTGTAAATGTGTTTGAGGGGCTGTTGACTTTCAGTCTGTTGCTGTGTGACCCTAGGCAATTTTCTTAATTTTGCCTCGGCAGCTTTAAATTCGGCAGTCACCCGGAGATGATCCACTTGGAGCATGCCCCGGCCTGTGCCTGGTCGGCAGCACTCAGTAAAATGCCTGTCTTGTCCCTCGCACTGTACTTCCTGGCCGTCTGTGGGCAGGCCCATTCACCCCTGTCCTTTCCTGCTCTGAACAGGTCATAAAGAATTCCCCTGTGAAGACTTTTGCCAGCGCCACCTTCAGTTCCCTCCTGGACGTGTTTCTGTCTACCACAGTGTTCCTGATCCTCTCCATCACCTGCTTCCTAACCTACGGAGCCACCGCCATGCCTCCCCCACCGGCTGCCCTGGCCGTCTTTGGTGCAGACCTGCTCCTGGAGGTGCTGTCCCTAGTAGTGTCCATCAGGTACGCCCCAAGTGGAGGAGTGGCCTCCAATGTTTAGCCTCTAGCTCCCCCTTCTGGCTTCACAGCTAATGGCAAAACGGATTAACCAACAAGGGCCAGGAGTCTGAAGAGAACAGAACTTCCTTTCCTCCCTTGCCCCATTTCCCATCCGTCCCTGCAGACGCTGACCTTCACTCCACCCAGGCGGTACACTAGAGAGGGTCCGTCCCCTGTGCGGCCCAGCTGATGCCAGGTGGGCCCTGGATCTCTTCAAGTAGAGATTAAGAGGAGAAGTGAGAAACTCAGACGAAAGAGGGGAAGAAGTACAGAGGGAATACATGGCAGGCAGCAGCAGAGCAGAAGTCTCTGCTGACCCGGAGCCAGGCCGGCCCAACTGAGGTCAAATGTCTGAGCATGGAATAGGCAGCACTTACTTAGATAGGACACCAAACGTGCAACAAGAAAAACGGACAAACTGGACTTATAAAAGTTTTCAAATGTGTGTTAAAAAGAATACACTCAAGCCTGGCATGGTGGCACACACCTAGAACCCTAGCCCTTGGGAGATGGAGGCAGGAGGGTCAGGAATTCAAAGTCATCTTGGCTGCATGGCAAGTTCAGGGCTACCTGGGCCACACAAGACCTGTCTCAAAACGAACAGAAAACTCTAACAGAGAAAGAGAGAACACCTGGGAGTGGGAAGGAATAATAGGTCCCATCTATGACAAGGACCTAATAGCTACAGCATATCAAGTTTATACAGCTCGGTAATAAAAAGACAGCCAGCCCATTTTATTTTTTAATTGAAAATAATTTTTTCATACAGTATATTCTGATCCGCTTCCCTTCCTCATCTCCTCCCAGATCTTCCCCACCCATCCAACTCCAACTGCATGCCTTCTTCTTCTTTCTCTTTAGAAAACAAACAGGCCAAAAAGAGGGTATAAAAAAAGAAAGAAAAGGCAGAAGAAACACAAAGGCATCGATGAGTTCCTTTTATGCTGGCATCTACTGCTGGGCCTGGGTCTTCCCTAAGTGTGGTTTCTATGCCTCGTGAAACTCCACTGGAGAAAACAAGTTTTCCTTTGCAAGTGGTGGTCAACTGAAGATAGCTTCTTGTTAGGGACAGGAGCTCTTGTCCACTTCCCCTTCTCAGCTTTGGGACCCCATGTGGCTCAGATGTGTGCAGGCCCTGTGCATGCTGCCACCCTCTCTCTGAGTTCCTGTTGTATCTGGAAGAAACTGTTGTCTTGGAATCATCTATACCCTCTGGTTCTTGCAATATTTTACCTCCTGCTCTGCATAGCTCCCTGACCCCTGAGGAGGGGGGTTTTGTAAAGACATCCCATTTAGGGAATGAGTGTTTCAAAGTCTCTGACCCTCTTCACATTGTCCGTTTGTGAGTCTCTGCTTTAGGGAGAAAGCTTCCCTGATGATGACTGAGCAAGACAATGCTCTATGTGTATAGCAGAATAAAAGAGCCAATTTTAAATAGACAAAATATCAGCCTAAGGTTCTGGGAGGTCCATAGCTCTCTGCCACTTCTTAGTAGGTGTGGATGCCCAGAGCATTTCATTTGCCAAGCACATCCATCCCAAAACATGCTTGCCTCTTGGATACTGTGACAGTGGGTCCTTGTACCTTGAGCAGCCCTGCATCCTTCAGCCTAGCTGACAATTGCCCCCAAGAGCTGGAGCTAAGATAGAAATGGTAACACCCCAAAGCAGGAAAACAAAAACAAAAACAAAACCAGCTTAGATCTGGCCCTGAGACTTCTCTATTTATCTTTTTCTCCCTTTAGGGCGGGCTCTGTGGGACACCCACCTCCTTCCTTTCTCACCACCACCCTGCAGTTCCCTCAGCTACAGAGACTGCCCTCACCCCTAGTGGGAACGATGTGTCTGCACCATGCCTTAAATTCTCTTTCAGGATCAAGCCCACTGCCCACAGCAAGCAGCCCCCTGCTCCAGCCCCCACTCACCTATGTCCAGTTTCCACTCCCTAAGAAATGGCTCCCACACCAATCCTGCCAGGGTCTGCTTCTATAGGACTCAAGCTGAGAACCACCTCCGACTCTAAATGCCTTTTCTGTCTTTTGTGTTTGTTGTTTGGGTGATGCCAGGGATTGAGCCTAGGATCTCACGCATGCTGGGCAAGTATCATCGCCTGAGGTAGATTCAGCCCCAGCCTTTTTTTTTCTTTTGAGACAGTGTCCCACTAAGTAGCCTCAGCCAGCCTTGAACTCACTGTGTCCTTGAACTCGTGGTCTTCTTGCCTCAACCTCTTGAGTACCTGCACCACCAGATCTGCATTGTTTTCCTTTACTTTTTTTTTTTACCCACATGGAAAGTTTTATTGGAGGAAAGGGAGAAGGGAAGAGAGGGAAGAAGAGAAAGAGAAGAGGGAAGAAAAGAAGAGAGGAGATGCACACTGCTTCATGGAGAAAGAGAGAGAAGAGGGAGAGAGAGAGGAAGAAAGAGAGAGAGAAGAGGGAGGGTTTTTTCTTTTCTTTTCTTTTTCTATCATCAGCTTGATGCAGTACAAATTCTTATCCTAATAGTGAAATGTTTCACTGAGGCTTGCCCAGTGATTGAGTGAAACCAAAACTTACTTTAAGCCACAGTCATCCTAGGGTCCCCCTGCTATGTAGCCTCCCTGGTTCTGTGGGTTGCAGTCTGATTGTTCTTTGCTTTATATCTAGTATCCACTTATGAGTGAGTACATACCATGTTTGTCCTTCTGGGTTTGGGTTACCTCACTCGGGAAGATGTTTTCTAGTTCCACCCATTTGCCTGCAAACCTCATGATGTCATTGTTTTTCTCTGCTGAGTAGTACTCCATTGTGTATATGTACCACATTTTCTTAATCCATTCTTTAGTTGACAGGCATCTAGGTTGTTTCCAGGTTCTGGCTAATATGAATAGTGCTGCTATGAACATAGTTGAGCATGTGTCTTTTGTGGTATGATTGAGCATTCCTTGGGTATATGCCCAAGAGTGGTATGGCTGGGTCTTGTGATAGATCAATTCCCAATTTTCTGAGAAACCACCATACTGATTTCCACAGTGGTTGTACAAGTTTGCACTCTCACCAACAGTGGAGGAGTGTTCCCTTTGCTCTGCATCCTCTCCTACATTGACTGTCATTAGTGTTTTTGACCATAGCCATTCTGACAGGTGTAAGGTAGTATCTCAGAGTCGTTTTGATTTGCATTTCTCTGATGACTAAGGATGTTGAGCATTTCTTTAAATGTCTTTCAGCCATTTGAGATTCTTCTTTTGAGAATTCTCTGTTTAGCTCTTTAGCCCATCCTTTACTATTTAAATGAACATGTAAGTGGGCATTGTGGTGCATACCTATAAGCCCAGACATTTGGAGAATGGAGGCTGAAGGACCAGAAGTTAAAAGTCTTCCTTGGCAACATACTAAGTTTGAGACCAGTCTGAGCTGTGGGAGACCCAATCTCAGAAAAGCAAAAATTGAAAATAGCCGGGCGGTGGTGGCGCACGCCTTTAATCCCAGCACTCGGGAGGCAGAGCCAGGTGGATCTCTCTGAGTTTGAGGCCAGCCTGGACTACCAAGTGAGTTCCAGGAAAGGAGCAAAGCTACACAAAGAAACCCTGTCTCGAAAAAAAAAAAAAAAAAAATTGAAAATAAAATGAATTTTATTATGATAGTTCACATGCAATAAACTCATTCATTCAGGTAAAGAATTCATGGGCTGAGGATGTAGCTCGGTGGTGGAGTCAGGGTACTGGGTTCAATACCTGGTACTGCCAAAAAAAGTTTAGACATCAGTGAGTTTTAGTAAACGTTAAGAGTGTACAAATATCATCACAACGTAATTTGAAGACGATTCTGTCACACACACACACCCCAAAAAACACCCATGCCTGTGTGTACTCGCCTACACCCAGACCTTCTAGGTTTCTGTCTAAAGCCTGGAGTTCCTGGTCTCTTTGCCATTTTACTATCTCTTTAATCAATGTTCCCTGTCCCTTTATGTCCAGTTTGGAAGAACTAGCCCCACCTGAGCTTAGCTGCAGAGAACTGTTCCTACATGCACACGCGGTAGGAGTCTGGTGAGCCTGCCAGCCACTCTGCTCCTGCGGGGACCGTGCAGCATCCCAGTGGCAAAGGCTAGGAAAGGCTGATCTCAGATCACAAAGACCAACAGGGTGGCTTATGTCGGTGCCCAGGGAAGCCAATACTTAGGCTTTCCAGCTCAGAGCCTCCTCCTTCCACTCTAGCCCCGGGAAAACCCCTGAGACCAGCTGCTCTTGCCTTAAAACTGTCTGATCTTGGGGACCATGTGAAATCTGAGCATCCCATCTCCTGGCTGGGACTCAGCTCCCCTTGTCCCCTGTCTACAGGTTCTGAGTCCTGCCTCTGAGGATTTCTGTGTTTTTTCTCAGTGATATTCCAAGGCCTCTGTTTTCATTTAGATTTTAGGAAGCCAGACTAAAAAGTGTACTTGAGTCTCTGTGGGAAATGGCCGTAGGATAGAGAATTGCAGGTCATGGCTGAGCATAGCTCATATAGCTGTTTAGCGTTTAAAGCCAGAGGTGCAAGTTCTGGGCATGCGTGAGATGCCCATGCTTCTGATCCCCACAGTGGCTCCTGACCAGAGGTGAAAGCAGTGAGCCTGTCCATACCCCCCAGCAACAGGCCTAAGGGACATTCTGTGAGTCTCCCGTCCCAAGATCCCAGTGTCCTCTTCCACCTCCCACTGCCTGCCTACCCCAACCCAGGGAGCCCGTGGCTCAGCCGAGGCCTGACCTTTCCTGGTCGTCGTTCTCAGCCCATACACTCAGTTCCTGCTCTTCGTAGGGGATTTCACCACATTACAATCACTTTCCTGAGGTGTAACCCACCCAGATCTACAATGGTAAGAAGAGTCATAATAGGTTGTCGCTGGAATGTGAAGCACCTCTCTTAGGAAATAAAAAAGCTGTCTGTTGTATTCTGTCATTCCCATGATCCAGCTGTGAATGAGACAGCTGGACATACAGGGTTGGGGTAGTGGCAGTGAGCTGTGACCTGATTTTCTGAAAGGCTGAACGCTCTTAATGTCCCAACCAAAACAGAATCTGTTTGACTTGCAGCAGAGTTAGCACCTCTGAAAACCACCTGCTTGTGCACAGGACACAGTGAACCCCCAGGCTGGGATGTTTAGCAAGCTTTTTGCCTCTGTGGCTTCTGAGGAGGAGGTCGTAGTGTTTTTTGTGAGTCCCAGTGGAGTGTCACTGTGTGATCTGGCAAGGCATCTCTATCCCTGCCTACTAATAACAACCTTCCCCCAAAAGGCTCAATACAACACCTCCAGATAGGCCCCACTCAGGGCTTCCTGACCCACAGTAGACTTAATTTGGGGTCATAACTGTTCTTTCAAGCCCCACAGACCCATGGAGGTTTTTGATAAGTGTATTTTGCCCAAATGGAGTAGGTGACCTTACATTTTGGTATGAAGGTCTGAGTATAGCCAGTTCACTCACTTGTTGACAAGTTAGGGGGTGCAGTCTATTGCCCTATGCACCCCCCACCTCCGGCATCAGAAGCTGCAGCCTGGGACAGTTGAGACATGGCATGCTCTACTCCTGACCCTTTCCCCTCTGTATCCCAGAATGGTGTTCTTCCTAGAGGATGTCATGGTGTGCACAAAGCGGTTGCTGGAATGGATCGCTGGCTGGCTCCCTCGACACTGCATTGGGGCCATCTTGGTATCTCTTCCTGCCCTGGCTGTCTATTCACACATCACCTCTGAGTTTGAGACAAACATACATGTAAGTAGCAGCGGGCCATCTTCTCCCCATGCTTTCCAGGCTCCCTAACACCGTCTCTTACTTTAAGTCTGATTACTTGGGACAGTCCTTAAAGAGGTACACTCTGGTACTGCCTCCAGCCATCCTCTTAAAGCATGAAGCATGAGCTGGGCATGGTGGCACAACCTGGGGCCCAGCACTTGGAAGGTGGAGGCAGGAACATCAGGAGTTCAAGGTCATCCTCAACTACATAGACTTTGAAACTAGTCTGGATTATACATACAACAGCCTGTCTCAAAACACACACACACACACACACACACACACACACACACACACACACACACACACACACACACTCGGCAGTATGGACCTGCCAGTGGCTATGTCAGAAGAGTAGGCACAAGGCTTTTCCAGCTTCACTCAGTATCCATCAAGTTTCATATCAGTTACAATCTTGACTTCCTGTGGTTCAAACTTTCAACTTTCCGGCTTTACAGTGGTGCAGAAGTATACCCAAATGACAATTCTGATTTCACTTCCATTTTTTCTAGCCATTGTACTAAGATCACATGGAAGTCGCTGCTTTTCACTTTCAGAACTCAGTGAATAACAGCAGAGAGCAAACAGGCTTGGTATTGGGTGGCTTTGCCCAGCTATGGGATTATGTGGGTGTTTTGAGCATGACTAAGCTAGACCAAGCTATGGTGTTTGGAAAACTAGGGGTATTGAATGCCTTTTTTATTTACGATACTTTTCATTTGACACACTGTTCTTCTTAATTTGGGTTGTGCTGGGACCCAGACCCAAGACCTTGCTTACACTTGGCAGGTGCTCTACCACAGAGTCACATCCCCAGCCTAACGGTGTGTAAGGATTTACGGAGATGGAGTCCTGCAGCAGTCTGAACATTTATACTTTGCCTCATGCTTTACAAAGACGCATCTGCCCCATGTGTCCAGATGACACAAGACAATATGTCTGTCACTGACAGACACCTGGATCAGCTGCTGCTGCCCTGGGAAGGAGCGTGGGAGTTAAACTCTGTAAAGAATGAGCTAGTTGTGGGAAACATTTGCTTCTTGGCCTGTAGGCTGAGGTCTAGTGCGGTGTATGCCTGAGTGTGAGAAGAGCTACTGGGGCATCTGGTGTCTTAGCATCAGATCACATCTCAGTGCTTCCAGCAGGACTGAAGGAAGGTAACCGATCCCACAGTGATAGCCCCAGTGATAACCCATCTTAAGTAAGCTGCATCCCTTCCCTGTCTGTTACTGCTAGAACATTCTCCTAGCAGTGTGAACATGTAACCTGATATGCTGTGCCATGGGACAGACATGTGATCTGTTTTTTAAACCAGTAGGTTACCCAAAGGAAGACTTACTGCATGTTTCATGGTTACTTCTTGTCACTGTGACCAACTACGTGATGAGAAACATTGTAAGGGATGGAGAGCTGGTTCTTTCGGGACTTGAGGGTACAATGTGTCACAGTAGGGAAGGCGTGGCTCCACGGCAGTCAGACTGGGACTCGTTTCCTTACAGCGTGGTGAAACAGGAAGCAGAGATGGGATAGGAAGCAAGCCAGACTGTAAACCTCAAGGCCCTGCCCTCCAGAGGTCCACTTCCTCCTGCTAGGTCTAATTCCCAAAGATTCCACAACCTCCCAAAATAGCACCCTTAGCTAGGGAGCGAGTGTTCAAACATCCCGGTCTCTGGGGGACATTTACACTCAAGCCATCACAAGTGGTACAGAGATGCTTGGTGTTGAACAGAAGCACGGGTGAGTGTGTCCTCAGTCGGAGGCGGACAGACGGGACGGGCGCACCATGTGGAGGTGGGCAGGCTGTCCTGACAGAGGCTTCTCTTGCAGTTCACCATGTTCACAGGCTCTGCTGTGCTGGTGACCGTCGTACACTACTGTAACTTCTGCCAGCTCAGCTCCTGGATGAGGTCCTCCCTTGCCACCGTCGTGGGGGCTGGGCCCTTGCTTCTGCTCTACATCTCCCTGTGCCGGGACAGGTATGTGACCATACTCTCACCCTGTGCCTTCCCCGCCCAGCATCATGGAGGGCTCAACAATGGCTCCCTGTCAGTGCTGTGTGATGTGTTCCCATCATGCCTTGAAATAGTTTCCAGCACGTGTAGTATCCAGAGTCCCAGCTGGGGATGTGGCTTGTGGCGAAGTGCCTGCCTGACCTGCCGAGGCCCTTAGTTCAGTCCCAGGACTAACTAGCCAAAAAAACCAAAAAGTAGCCGGGCGGTGGTGGCGCATGCCTTTAATCCCAGCACTCGGGAGGCAGAGCCAGGCGGATCTCTGTGAGTTTGAGGCCAGCCTGGACTACCAAGTGAGTTCCAGGAAAGGCGCAAAGCTACACAGAGAAACCCTGTCTCGAAAAACCAAAAAAAAAAAAAAAAAAAAAAAAAAAAAAAGTAATAAAGTGCCAGAAGAATGATATGAGAAAGATAAGAAAGTCATTTAGGCCAGGCGGTGGTGGCGCACGCCTTTAATCCCAGCACTCGGGAGGCAGAGGCAGGCGGATCTCTGTGAGTTCGAGGCCAGCCTGGTCTACAGAGCGAGTTCCAGAAAAGGCGCAAAGCTACACAGAGAAACCCTGTCTCGAAAAAACCAAAAAAAAAAGTCATTTAGAACAGCATGAAGAACCCTGTCCTTCATCTGAAAGCCTCGACTCTGAATGCTAGAAAATGTAAGATTTTGAGCACTGGCGTGATACCAGTACCAGAAGTCTGATAACTCAGGGTCCACAAGCTTTGCTCCATGCACTAAATCATTTAAAAATTTGTATAAAATTACTTTTAGTTTGTGTGTATAACCTGTATATATTGAAACATAAATGAACTTTGGATTTAGACTTAGTTTCTATCCCTAAAAGATGCCTATATCATCAGTTGTGTGCAAATACTCAGAATTCCACAAGACATATGCTCCAAGCCACTGGGATTTGGGAACTCAATCTGTCCATATTTGAGTATAGATGTTCTTGGGTGCCTGTCTCTGTGAGACACATGACTATTGCAGGAAACTTACTGTTGTGAGTGGTTGGAATCTAAGAAAGGCCTGAAGTTCTTTCACATGAGAGTCAAGATAATGAGAGAGCAGAGGAAGAGCCAGAGTGAGGCCACTCTGAAATCCCAGTACACAGGAAGCTGAGGCAGGAGGATTTCACATTTGAGCCCAGCCTAGGCTGCATAGCAAGACTGTCTCAATAAAAACTAGAAGAAGCCGGGCGGTGGTGGCGCACGCCTTTAATCCCAGCACTCGGGAGGCAGAGCCAGGCGGATCTCTGTGAGTTCGAGGCCAGCCTGGTCTCCAAAGCGAGTTCCAGGAAAGGCGCAAAGCTACACAGAGAAACCCTGTCTCGAAAAACCAAAAAAAAAAAAAGAAAAAAAAAAAAAGAAAAAAAAAAACTAGAAGAAAATGCCAGGAGGGTGGTGGAGAGATACACCTTTAATCTCAGCACCCGAAGGCAGGGGCAGGCAGAACTCTGTGAGTTTGAGGTTAGCCTGGTCTACAGAGCAAGGTACAGGACAGCCAGAGCTACACAGAGAAACTTTGTCTCAAAAACAAACAAACAAACAAAAAAATCACAAATGGGGGCTGGAGAGATGGCTCAGAGGTAAGAGGATTGACAGCTTTTCCAGAGGTCCTGGGTTCAATTCCCAGCAACCACATGATGCCCTCTTCTGGCGAGCAGGCAAACATGCAGATTTATTTATAATAAATAAAACTTTTTAAAAAAGTACAAAAAACACCTCACACACACACACACACAAAGCAAAAAACAAACAAACAAACAAACAAACAAAGAACAGGAAGAGCCAAACTCAGTGGTACATGCCTATCATCTCACCACGCGGTAAGCAGAGGCAGGAGGATCAGGAGTTCAAGGTCTTTTGTGGATATGTAGCGTGAGTCTGAGGCCTTCTGGGCTACATGAGACCCTTTCTCACAGATAAAACAAAAAACAAAAACTATACTTCTGGCAGGTGCTAAGGAGTAGAAAGTGTGATGTGGACAGAGGAATTGGAGTCACATGATGGGCCTCTGGAGACAGGATCAGTTCTCATTGTGCTACAGAATGAGAGGGACATTTAAACCCTGTAAGGGCCTGGTGTGGTGGCTCACACCTGTGATCCCAGAACTGGTGAAGGAAAGGTGGATGCAGAAGGACAGGAGGTTTGGGGTTAGTTTGGACCAGAGTGAGACCCATCGAATCAAACCAAGCAAGCAACCAGTCAACAGAGTGAAATAAAACACCCAATATGGTTTTGTGAGACTCCTTTCTCCACGGCTTCCACCAGTTACATCACGTTTGGTTCTTAGTTTGTTAAATGTGTCTCAAGTTTCCTGTTACACACCAGGAACTGACTCTGTGGCTTTTACGCTTTGTCAACTAAATATGTAGTTGGAAATAGAATAGGAACTTGGGTAGTAGAATGCACACGGTACTTTTTTAAAACAGTTCATGATCTCTTAAACCAATTAAGCTTCTGCTTGTGAAACAAACATCTAAATATCGGGCTTTTCTCATAACTTCTTTGAGCGGTGCTTCCCAGGTGCAGTGGAGACCCACCTGCTCATAAATCTACTGGGATGGGGTGGGGGCAGGTTGTTTTAAAGTTGCAGGGGACATTTCTCTATTGTACTTTGCAGGACATCTAACATTCCTGCTCCCTAACTTATTATCACGACCAGGGACTGCATCATTTCCCAGGTGCCCCTTGGGATTGGCATTGCTGTCACTGTGGACCACCACTTTAGTAATGCTACTGTCAGCAGGATCAGAGGTGTCTTCGGGTAATCGCAGGGCAGTGGTGATGAGTGAGGAGAGTGAGTTTCTATCCTCGGCATTCTTACTATATTAATAGCAATGCAAAACATATTCATGTTCTCTGCAAACCGAGATCAAAAAGGAATTTGAAGTGGAGCTGCCAATCAGTAGCTGAGAGGCTGAGACAAGTAATTCCATTAAGTGAAGTGGGGCTGCCTCCTCCTACCTTGGTGGGGCATCTGGAACACGACCATCACAATGCTTTATACAAAAAGTATGAAATTCGTCCACCAGCCTTTAGCTTCATATGCCTCCTGAACCACTCATGGTGACATTCAGTCACACTTTTGGCTTCTCCTCTTGGATCCAGAGAGACAAAGTAGTGGCCTCCCATCTGCTTTCCGCTACAGTCCAAACAGCAGATTTTGGAGTGGAACTAGTAGCCAAGACCCCTTCCACGTGGAGGATCCTATGAGCCTGCCGCCCAGTCCCAATTGTTGCTGGAACCAGCAGGGCACAGTGCTCGTCAGGTAGTGAACAAAAGCCTGAATTCACGTCTTAGCAAAGAGAAGCTGCCTTAGTTACTTTTCTATTGTTAGTAAAAACACCAGGACCAAGGCAGCTTATAAAAGGAAGGGTTTAGTTGGCCTTACGGTTTCAGAGGGCTATGACCAACTGTTTACATCATTCCCCCAAAAGGAAAGTTATGTAAACTCTTCTTGGGTTGATTTTATTGTTTTTAAATTTTATTTATTTATATTTTATGTATGAGTGCTCTGCATGTATACCTGCACACCAGAAGAGGGCACCTGATCTCATTATGGGTGGCTGTGAGCCACCATGTGGTTGCTGGGAATTGAACTCAGGACTTCTGAAAGAGCAGACAGTGCTCTTAACCCCTGAGCCACCTCTCCAGCTCTTTGGGTTGATTTTAATAATGCCTTTTTTGTTTCCTGTAACATTTTTATGCATTTTCTTTGCAGCTCCATAGTGGTGTCACCCTTAGATACAGCAGCACAGAACTTCAGGTAAGTTTTCAGCCTGGGGCCTGTGTCTCATAAGTGAGAGCAGCCATCTTTCTGCTCTATCTCCTGAAAGCACACATGCCGTAAGTAAACTGTACAAGCGTGTGTCTGCATATATGTGTGTGTGTGTTAGGTTGAGAAAACAAGCGATAACTGCATATTAAAGTGTCCGGTCACAGTTGTATCTTCCTGGGAAGGTGAGTGGTCACTAAGACATATATTAGAGTTAGTAATTTTATACAAGACTTTAGCACCTTATACAGGAAATCTCACAAATTAAAGAAAAATATTTATCATCTAAAATATTTTGACGTGGAGCCATCAAGATGGCTTCGCTGTTAAAGGGGCTTGCCATGAGAGTCCAGCACCCTGTGTTTGATCCCCAGAACCCATGTAAGAGTGGCTGGAAAGAGCCAGCTCCTCAGACCTCTGTACGTACGCCTCGTCATGCATCCCTTACACTCATGATGCACACACAGACAGCAATAATACATAATTTAATAATATAATATTTACATATCTGACGAGAAATTTGAAATAATACATATTTGAATTTTTAAATTAAATACTTAACCCTTACTTTACTCTAAACATAAAAGTAAATTCTAAATAAATTGAAGGGTAAAAGGTAAAAATTATGTGTGCTGTACATGCATATCTACAGCCACACATGCCCCTGTATTAATGCATGCAGACACACACACCACAAGAAATAAAAATAAATAACTATAAAAATTAGAAAAGTAGTAATTTTCATGCCTCTTAAGACAGATAATTTTTCAGTCTTATCAGTAATAAATAGGAAAAGAATGAACAACAAAGAGGAAGGGAAAGAAAACGAAGACAGAGAGAAAATCATCCATGGAACAAAAGCCCACACAGAAGAAAGACAAAAGGAGTTCCCAAAGAGGAAATCTATCACATTAGCCGCATTTTCCCCAGTCCTGGGAATCGAGCTCACCGGTGACCTCCACTGATCTTCGGCTCAGCTTCACTTGGGCCCTCAAAGAGTAGTAACAGGATGCCAGCCATACGCTCGAGCCTGGAACGCTAGTGCTGTGCAGCTGAGGCCGGTGCTAGTGCAGCACTGTATCTACAGCCCTACAGACCCCAGATGGTAACAGATGCCATGCCTCGCTGGTTAGAGCTGCAGGGGCTCTTGCTTTCTGTTTGTTTGTTTGTTTTTCCCTTTCTATTTTAAAAACTCTCTTTTGTGGGGTAATAGACTTTAGTATGCTTTTACTTTAACTTCCATTAATGGTTTAATGTCCCAGTCTTCAGTCCTAAGTGGACTCTCCCATTTATTCATCTCAGATTCCTCTTTTGGACTGGGCCGTGATGGTGCAGGCCTGTAATCTCAGCTGTGCAGGAGGCCAAGAGAGCAGGAGAGCCTGCGGGGCTGCAGAGCGAGCTCAAGGCCAGCCTGAGCAAGTTTCTGAGACCCTGCCTCCAAATGGAAATGACAGCTAAAGAGCTGGGACCAGCTCAGTGGTAGAGACTTATCACCAGTACCACTAACAATCCTTCTCTTGGAAACTGACTGTTGCTATTTGAATTTAGAACTGGGATTGGGCTACCTTTGCCCACCTATCTTAGAATAAAAATTGCTGGTTGTTATGGCATATCCTATAATCCCAGCACTTGGGAAGTGGGGGCCAGAGGATCCAAAGTTCAAGTCATCCTTAGCTACATAGTAAGTTAATTCCAAGACCTCCTGAGCGACATGAGACCCTGTGTTAATGGAACAAAATTCGGTACAGGACAAAATGGTTCAACAAGTAAAGCACCAGACATCCTCTGACCTAGACACATGCGAGGTGGACTGTGTCTGCATTCACCTACCATGACATACATAATAATAAAGTTTTTTAAAGGTATGGGCCAATGAGAAAGCTCAGGAGGTGCTTGCTGCCAAGTCTTTTGACCTAAGTTTAGTCCCTCAGGAAACTGGAGCAGGAGAATTACTGCAAGTTTGAGACCAGCAAGTGAGGAGGGAGATTAAGATTGATTATGGAAACACCGGTACTGTCGCTGTTTCTCCCACCGAGATTTAAAGCAGTTAATGTTAAGCCTACTGTACTTAACTAAAGGGGGCTGTTCGTCAATGCACAACATTGGGAAAAGCAAAATGAAACTTAGCCTCAGACCAGCAAGCTGTGCTCACAGGACACAGGGCTGGCTTCTCCCCAGCCCAAACCCTCTCCCCCCTCTGCGTAAAAGCCAGCCAGAGAACCTCAGGCTGAGTTGAAACATGTTTTAGTGAGTTAAACAAAGTGGTCACTTTGCTTACATTTGAGTCATAGGTATTGTCATTTGTTTCAATGCTATAGTAAAGTAAATAAGCATGGGGTATCCTACCATAGAGAACTTTGTCCTGGTTCCCGACCACTGAGCTGTGAAACCCATGCCAGGTCCCCAGGCCAGCAGCTGGACTCCAGGGTTCTGCATATTGCAGAGAAAAGACAACAAGATCAGCAGAGGGAGAAGCTTCTCTCAGGAGCCCCCTCCCCGTGAGCTGTGAGAGCCCCAGAGCATCTCAGTCACAACACGGAGGGAGCTCTTCTCATAGCAGCCACATACACAGCCTGAAGGGAAGCGGTGCTCAGCGTCAACTGCGTTGCCTGTGCAAGCAGCCGCCATATCATTGACTGCTATCACCCAGGGGTAATGGAAACCCTCCCCAATCCCAGCTCCCTGCTGCCAGCCCAGGCCTTTCGGAGGTTGATGACCTCCCCTGCAGAGCTACCACTGTACACTGAACCCTAATGCAGAAGGATTGGCCACACTCCAGCTAGTCTTCATGCTTTACAACAGGAGGACACCAAGTCCTGGCAGAAGGTGTGGTTTGCCCAAGGCCCCCAGTCTCTCCAGTCGTTCTGCCAGAGCAGCCCAGGGGACCAGTGTCAGGGCTTTTGTGATGGTGCTTAGGGGAGTGTCTCAATGGCCTCAAGTTCATTTTTCTTTTCTTTTCTTTCTTTCCTTCTTCCTTCCTTTCTTTCTTTCTTTCTTTTCTTTTCTTTTTCTTTTTTTTGAGATAAGATCTTGTGTAGCCCAGGCTGGCCTTGAACTTGCTGTGTACGCAAGGATGACCTCACATTCTTGACACTTCTGTCTCTGCTCCAAAGTGCTAGGGTGACAGGCGTGTGCCACCAGGCCTTCCTAAACCTGTTATTTTAAAACACCCGTATATTATTGATGCTTTTTCTCTTTACTCTTTTTGGGGGCCTGCCACCCAGCCCCCAAATAAGTCACACACTGAGGCTTATTCTTAACTATAAATGCCTGGCCTTAGCTTGGCTTGTTTCTTACCAGCTTTTCTTATCTTAAATTATCCCATCTACGTTTTGCCTCTGGACTTTTACTTTTCTCTTACTTCTGTAAATCTTACTTTCACTCTTAATCTGTGACTGGCTGTGTGGCTGGCCCCTGGAGTCTTCCTCTCCTTGTTGTCTTGCTCTTTCTTCTTTTCCTCCTAGATTTCTCCTTCTGTTTATTCTGTCTTCCTGTCAGCCCCACCTATCCTTTCTCCTACCTCACCATTGGCCGTTCAGTTCTTTATTAGCCCATCAGGTGTTTTAGACAGTCACAGTAACACAGCTTCACAGAGTTAAACAAATGCAACACACCTTTGCATCTATAACAAATGTTCCACAGCATAAACAAATGTAAAACACTGTAAAATAATATTTTACAGCACCCTTATGTCAGCGATAACAATAAAACTTAAATTAAATAGTGTGGCTAAGGAATTAAGGTTTCTGTGTCCTAGACCCATCTCACCTGAGGACACATCAGTTTTCTCTCCATTTATATTGACATAGTGACCAAGTCCATCATTACATAAACTCCAACAACCTACCTTGGGCAGTTTAGCAGTACATTAACTTATAAAACCAATATGAACTGAACAGCCACAGTTCTGTTGGAAATAGAAAGGGAGGGGGTAAGAAAGGATGGAGGGAGGGAAGAAGGAAATGGGAAATGGTAACATTAACTGGCTTGGGTAGTAGGACAATGGATGAATCGTTGTTTTAATTTTTACCTTTTCCCCACATTTTCTATGATTGAGCATGCAATATTTTTAACAGAGGAAAAGAAACTGAGCAAGTATCGTGGTACATACTTATGATCCCAGCACTTGGGAAGTGGAGGCAAGAGGATTAGAAATTCAAGGTTAGCCTCAGCTATATAGCAAATCCAGGCCAGCCTGGGCTACATAAGACCCTGCCTTTAAGAAGAAGAAGAAAAAAAAAAAGGACATGGTGGCCCTCAGTGCTGTCTTCAGTGTCAGCTGCAGGGCTCCTCACTGCAGTCGCCTGTAGGAGACCGGCACTCTGGAGAAGGTTTCGTTAAGAGGAGGACTTCTTGGGGATGTCTAAGTTCTGAACTGGCAACTTTGAAATGATCCAATAATCCTGGTATATGCAAAGATGAGCATACAGGAATGTCCCCTGAGACATCACTTCTCACCATAACTACAGTGTCCCTCATGAATGTGGTGGTCCATATATTAGATTACTCTATGGCCATGAGAAAATAGCTCTGTGTTTTCCCTCAAAGGAAAGACTTTTCATTCTGTATGCTGATTGACTTTCTTACCATGTGCAAATATACTCCTAAGTGTATACATCTCATACTCCTTTTGAAAATGCTAAGATTGTCTTAATTGACTTTGGTAAAAACAGAACTAACTAGAATGGGAGAATGTGTTTTGCTAAACTTTCATACGAGTAGAGAACAGAGAAAGTTTAAATAGTCTTTGTAAAATGATGTCTGTTGTTTAGAAATATAAGAAAATATACCAGAATATTCAGTTTCTTAGATATAGTAATGGTACTGTGGTCACAAAGGGAAATGCCCTTGTCTTGGGAGATACATACTAAAATAGTTAGACCAGCAACTTACTTTCAAAATGTTTAGGAAAAGTATTTGTGTGTGTCCGTGTGTGTTTGTATGTTATATGTGTTGAGAGGAAAAGCAGAAAGGCAACATTTAATAGTTGTCAACTCCAGGTGAAGAGCTTCTGAGTGTTTGTTTCCATAAAGTTGAGATTTTTCCAAAAGAAATAGTTGAGGAGAAAGAAAAGATTTTTTTTTTAATCTAATGAGTTCTTTTAAAGAACAGTTACAGCTGGGCTTAGCATTACAGGCCTGTAATCCCATCCTGTGGGTATGGAGACAGGGGGTTAAATGCAAGGCCAGCCTCTAGCTACATAGCTAGTTCACGGCCAGCCTGGGCTGCATGACACCTGAGTTCAAGAAACCAAATCAAATGTAAATAAAACAAAAGCATCTCTGAAGCCTGCACAATAACCAGGCTGCTTTCCGGCCTCAGGGTGTCAAGGGTGGTACTCAGTCACACTTGTGGGAGCGCTCCCTTAGTAGGGTGGTACTCGGTCACACTTGTGGGAGCGCTCCCTTAGTAGGGTGGTACTCGGTCACACTTCGGGTTTGGGGCACTCCCTTAGTAGGTGTTCTGAGCGGCTGTGTCATTTCTATCTCTCTGCTCCCCAGTGCCAACAGGAACCCGTGCAACAGCTCACTGCTGCAGGACAGCAGGAGGCCGGCCAGCCTCATAGGCAAGGAGCTCATCCTCACCTTCTTCCTCTTGCTCCTCTTGGTCTGGTTCCTGAACCGAGAGTTCGAGGTCAGCTACCGACTGCATTACCATGGGGATGTGGAAGCAGATCTGCACCGCACCAAGATCCAGAGCATGAGGGATCAGGCTGACTGGCTACTGAGGAACATCATCCCCTACCACGTGGCTGAGCAGCTGAAAGTCTCCCAGACCTACTCCAAGAACCATGACAGCGGAGGAGTGATCTTTGCCAGCATCGTCAACTTCAGTGAATTCTATGAAGAGAACTATGAAGGGGGCAAGGAATGCTACCGGGTCCTTAATGAGCTGATAGGTGACTTTGATGAGCTTCTGAGCAAACCGGACTATAACAGCATTGAGAAGATCAAGACTATCGGGGCCACATACATGGCAGCGTCAGGGCTGAACACTGCCCAGTGCCAGGAGGGTGGCCACCCCCAGGAGCATCTGCGTATCCTCTTTGAATTCGCCAAGGAGATGATGCGTGTGGTGGATGACTTCAACAACAATATGCTGTGGTTCAACTTCAAGCTCAGGGTTGGCTTTAACCATGGACCCCTCACTGCAGGCGTCATTGGTACCACCAAGCTGCTCTATGACATCTGGGGAGACACTGTCAACATTGCCAGCAGGATGGACACCACTGGTGTTGAGTGCCGCATCCAGGTGAGCGAAGAGAGCTACCGTGTGCTGAGCAAGATGGGTTATGACTTTGACTACCGAGGGACTGTGAACGTCAAGGGCAAAGGGCAAATGAAGACCTACCTTTACCCAAAGTGCATGGACAATGGGGTTGTGCCCCAGCACCAGCTGTCCATCTCCCCAGACATCCGTGTCCAGGTGGATGGCAGCATTGGACGGTCTCCCACGGATGAGATTGCCAACTTGGTGCCTTCTGTTCAGTTCTCAGACAAGACTTCCTTGGGATCTGATGACAACACACAGGCCAAGGACGTGCACCTGTCCTGTAAGAGACCCTGGAAAGAGCCGGTCAAAGCTGAAGAAAGGTTTCGATTTGGAAAAGCCATAGAAAAGGATGACTGTGAAGACACAGGAATAGAAGAAGCCAATGAACTCACCAAGCTCAATGTCTCAAAGAGTGTATGAGGCAGCGTGGAGAGCTGCCGAGGTGCTCTGTTCATCCAAACACAATAATATTTGTATTGACAGGCTGGCGTGCTGTCTAGCACCTCAGTGTCTGTTCCTGGATGTGGTGTCATGTGGTCATTTCAGCCCTAATCTCTGTGTGGATCACAGTTATTCAGGGTCCATTTCCACCCATTTCTTCTTTCCTTTACTCCCTTTCCTGGAAGCCTGCCCCCAGCCTGGGGGATCCATTCAGCGGTGTGGAGGAATATAAGTGCCTTCAGGGTTTGGCCTTGAGTCTAGGGCTGAGGCCACTGGTGGAATCATGGCCCTGGGTATTATTTGACTTCTTTAGGACAAAAAAAAAAAAAAAAAAAAAAAAAAAAAGCTGTGGTTAAGATACCGTTTTTATTGCCTTTTCTCACAAGCTTTTTTTTCTCATACAGTGTTTTCCAGTTTATTTTTTCTATATATGTAATAGTGTTTTTTGGTCACCTGGCCTTTCTAAGCACATACACGCACACACACTTGCATTTATGAATCTGACATAAAGTGCCAGTAACTCATCTGGGGGAGGGGCTATAAAAGGTGGGCAGGACTGGGAAGCTCAGCAAGCCCCCTTCTGGCATCTCGGGGTACCTGGGCCCATGTTCCTGTGGCCCATGAATGGGCCTCTCCGCCCCCAACACTGGGCAGTTTCAGGGGCTCTTCTGCACGCAGGCCAAAATTTCATATGCTCACCAGGCACAAAGCTTACACGCCAGGCCTCAGGAATCTCAAAGCCGTGTTTTCATCTGACCCTCCACAGAGGGGTCTTCCAGCCAAGAGCGAAGATGTTTGTCTCAGAAGCCGACTCATCTGAGGGAGACAGTCGACCATCTGAGGGTTGCGTTTATTTATTTATTTATTTATCAAAACGTGTATTATGGGGAGGGGCCACTGGATAGTTTTGGTGAGGGAAACAGTCAGGGAGTGGGCAGGGCAGTTTGCGAAGGACACAGCAGACCAATGACAAGATGTCCCTCTATGTTTCATGTCTCATCCACTGTGGCCTACGGTGCCACCCAGGGTGCTGCTCCCCCTTGTGGGGATCCAGAGTCACACTGCTCAGCTCCAAGCGGGATTCTGCAGACCTTTTGTCCGTTCCTCCCACGGTTGGACTGCACAGGCTGATTTGTAGTGGGATTTCATTCTGCTGGCCAATTCAGACTCTCAAAAGAGGCTACTTGTGGCGCACCGAGGAGCAGAACCATCTGTATGCCAAAGGAGATGCAGACAGCAGACACAGAGCCAATAAGGAAAATGGCGTTCCTGTTCCTGGTGGCTAACCTTGCTCATAATTGTGTCTTTCCATGTTGAGTCTGAAATTTCTGCTGAATGGAACTCAGGCTACAGTTGTCCTGACGCCATCATTCTTCCAGGTGACGCTGGTGTGCAGCTCAGAGACGACTGAGGAGCAGCTCTGTCTGTTGGAGGTCTTCACGCCGTGCCCTGTGGTGTGTCCTTGCACTGGTAAACCTCACTGTATGATTTTCACCTCTGAGTTGAGTCCCTTGTTACTCATTCCCAGAGACAGACAGGACCTGCTGATGCTAGCAAGGTGACATAGTTCTAGTCAGCCACTTCCCCTGGGGACACCTGGGATGGCCACCCAAGCATCATAGCCATGCCAGGACCCAGAGTGTTCTTAGTGACGGGAAGATTTTCCTTCCCAGTTGGCTCCCTGTTGGTCTTCCAACTCGAAGAACAGATGGTTGTAATAATACCTCTTGCTTCTGAAGAATGTATTCTTGTACAATGCCACAGATTTTTTTTCTTAAAAACACTACCTGATTCTTTCCTTGTACTAGGGATTTAGGGCATGCTGGGTTTCCTCCGGTCAGTATTAGGGTGTTCGTTATCTGAGTGTCGGTCAGTCTGTCCTCCAGCTCCAGGCTGCATAGCCTTGAGGAGCGAGCTGGTGTCAGTGTCTTTGCAGTCTTGGTTCAAGATGTGCTCTGCCAGGTTCATCTCTGCACACATCTTCCCTCTCAAACTCTCTTCCTTTCTCTGCTACAAACGTGTTTGTGATTCTTTCCCAGCCCACCCCCCAACCCTAGACCTGCAAGCCAGTTGGAGAGAATCATTGACCTTGAGCAGGTGGTCCAGTTACGCATTGTGCAAATAGAGCCCTGGGTGAAGGGCGGCTCCCACAGAGTGCAATGGTCTTAAGAAACACCCTGAGCCTTCCTGAAGAACCAGTGCAGACATTCTTCTTTCAGGGTGCAAGGCCCCTGAGGCCTTCCCAGCTCCCTGCCCCAAAGCATACCTCAACACAAACCACGGCTCTGCAGCACACCTGCCGTGCAGCCTGGGCTGTTGGCATTGAACAAACAGCTGGAGACAGTTGGGCTTCTAGGCAGTGGACTCGAGTGTCCTCAGGTGGCAATACTTCTTAGGAACCTAGGGCAGGAAGCAATACTCCAGAACTGAATGTGTGTAAATAGTTGCTTTGCGTTGCAATTCCTCTTTCCCTCTTGGCCCAGCTCAGATCAACTTTTTACATCTGTATGATCAAGCACACATAATTTTGTCCCACGCAAATGAACGTAGAGTATCAGTTATAAACCCTTAAACTGCTTGACGAGCACCACAGATTGACCATACCTGCGCATGGCTCCCTCCACCCTGGCTTCACTCCTGGGGACTGCACCCGCACATTTGCTCATGACACAGAGAGCCAAAGGCAGTGTGCAACCATCAGCTGGGCTGTAGTCACTTGTAGTTTCCAAAGAAAAGTCTGCATTTGACTTTCTTGATTTTCAAGGTCAGCATTTTTGATTGGTTGTTTGGAAAATTGCATCATGACTAGAACCAGAAATTAAATCATCAAGAACCAACTGTTTGTGTTTCCATGTTTCCTTTGCTCTGCTCTTTTTAAATTGTTAACTCTAAGAATTTCAAAATGCATCCACTGAAAAAAATGGATATTAAAATATTCTAAAACCTAACTTTGATGCCTGGTATCTCCTCATTGAAAAGCCTGGTACTACTTCAGACTAGGCCAGCCCCCTCCCACCCCTTGTATTTTCTGCAACTTGTGGCCAAAACAGGAAGATTTACTTTTCATTTCCGTCACGGCTTTAAAAATAGGAAAAACCATACCAAAATTATGCTTTTTTGTGTTTCTGGGGCATTATTATTATTATTACTTAATGAATTCGCCTACTGCAGTTAACTTTGGTTGAGAAATACTTATTTTTATCCAGAATGTTAAAAGTTAAAAATCAGGCTGTAGGACACATTGTACAGTTGACAATTTCCCTACTTCATTAGCAGTTTTTCATGCAGCATCTTAATGAAGGAGCTGACTAAGGAAACACAATAGGTTTTCTGAAAAGGCAGCCTGAGAAGCACCCACCTCACGGTGATTGGTGATTGTGGACCAGAATGCTGCTGCCCCCTGCTCTTCTAGGTCCCGTTTCAGAATCTGTTAGTTACAGAACTCACTGTGCTTCGTGAAGACACCTGCTATCTGCTGCCTAGGAGACAATGACAGGAAGATCAGGAGTTCAACATCAGACTTAGTGACATAGAGTTCAAGGCCAGCCTGGGCTATGTGAGACCCTGGCTTTGTTTGTTTGTTTGTTTTTTAAAGTAACAGAATCTCTCCCCAGAAAAATTCACATGCCATTTTGTACATACCTTTAAAGGTTTGTAGTGCCTCTAAATCCAGAACCAAACCATAGCTCTTTCAGGGTGGAGAACCTCTTCACCTGAAGGCTTTTCATGGTTGGTCAAGTGTGAGAAATGTCAAGACATAAAGGTACTCTCCTAGACTGTAGACTCTAGAAAGGGAGATGAGTATGTGGCCTCCAGCCACTTGTCTATCAGCCTGCAGAAACCCATTGTCTCCTGGACCCACTGAGAGCAAGCACATCTCACAGACCAGGGTGCTTTCCTGCCCAATGGTACTGTAGGCTTCCCCAGAAGCCCTTCCCTAGCTAGGGAGCAAGAATCCTCATGTGCAGAAGGTCTTACAGGATCGTGGTCTTGGGCTACAAAGGGCACTTGGGGACTTAGACAACTTTGCAGACAAGAAAGGCAGTCTCTAATCTTTGCAGTACAACTCATCATTTGTGGTTTCTCTTTCATCTAAGATCTTTTTGGCACATGGTTGCTTTTCTCTGCTGTCACACACTATTGCTATGGCCACCTGGAACAGATCCCAAGGACCTGGAAAAAGAAGCTCACTGGAGGAACCAGCAAGTGAATGGGAGTGATTTTAAAAGTTCCTATTTGCACATTATCTACATGTACATTTAAAATCATCCCAGGGGTGTGTGTGTGTGTGTGTGTGTGTGTGTGTGTGTGTGTGTGTGTGTCTTTGTTTTAAAAAAATGTAAAAGCCTGACTCTAAAGAGTTGTGAGTAGCTGAGTAATTAAGCCTGCGGAATCCTCTTCTGCTGGGCCTGCAAGTCTACGGAAACCAGAATGAAGCAATCCAAACGGCTGATGTTGAAATCTCACTTATCAAAGGCAGTAGATTCTTTATATTTTATGCTTTTTTACTCCAGGAGCCTTCAATAATTTGATGAGAGCCATGGCCTCTTCTTTGGAAATAAAAAAAAATGCACATAAAAATCAACTCTCTAGGACTGAGCAGATAGCTTAGCCAGATAGTGTTTACCTTGAAGCATGAGGACCAGAGTTCTGATCCCCAGAAATGCTGAGTGGGTATGGCAGCCCTCCTGTAATCCTGGCACAGCCTTGAGGCAGAGACAGGGATTCCCCAGTGTAAGCTACCAAAACAGTGAACTCTGAGGTCAAGTGAGAGACCCTGAAGGCACCCACCACCAGCCTCAGGCGCACACACACACACACACACACACACACACACACACACACACACACACACACAGCATTCCACATGAGTACAAGGAAAGTCCTCCCTCTTGATACTGTGTAAGATTTCAAATTCGTGGATCCCTCACCTGCAATAACCAGAAGAGTGATGAGTTTTAATTCTGACTTGTAGGTGAAGCCTCCACCATCTGTTTAAAAATTCCCGTTTGGAAATGTAGTTACATAATTTCTTTTCAAAATTATAATTTACAGTTTTATGTATGTAATTAATATATTTGAGGACCCTCAACTTTTCATCATATAAATATGAATTTAGTTAAATTTCTTGTAAGAGATGAATAAATTTCATCCCGTATTTATTAAGTGCCTACTGTGTGCCAAATGATGCTCCAATGCTTCCTTGATTTAGGTCACTTGATTTGCTACGGTTCTTGAGAACCAGTGAGAGGCAACTGTGAGTAGAAAGTGCTTTTCATGATGGCTGCCCCAGTCTCTCAGATACCTGGAGAAGCACAGAAGACGTCCACAGATTCCTGACTGACATCTCCCAAGGGCTCCTTAGTGTCATCCATAGCCCTTAGTGGGTCTGCCACTGAAAGTGGCCTTCTCAGTGACTGGACTATCAGGCAGTGCTTCGTGTTGGTGGTGTTGGAATGAGTTGGGTGACACAGCACTCATAAGAGCCTCTGCCCCACCTTGAAAACAGTTGCTGCTGAACAGGTGTCTGCTAGGCCCACCGAAGCTCTGAAGGGAAGAGACGTTTCCTGAAAAACTGCTCTCAAGTGTCTTCAGGCTAAAAAAAAAATTGAGATAGGGTCTTGCTATGAATCCCAGGCCAGCCTGAATGTTGCTATGTTGACGAGGTTAACTGTGAACTTGTGATCCTCCTGCCTCCGTCTCATTTTCCTCACCACAGAGCAGTTTTACCTTTCCAGGTTGGGTAGGATGAGGAAGGAAGGAAGGTCTGGTTCGGATGCTGTTTGAAAGTTGCCGTCATCAGGGAGGGTTTGACGTGCTCAGAGAAGGGAGTAAAGTGGGCTCGGCTATTTGCTTCCGGCTCCCTGGGCACGGGCTGTTAGGTCTCAAACTCAGGACAAATGGCTAACTGAGGTGCCTACTTATCAAATATATCAAAGTGGATGCTGGCTGCCAGTCTCCCTCAGGCCCTACTTCCTACAGTGTCCTCCTGGCTAGAATGCCCTGCCCCTACCCTGACCTCTCCAGCCCAGGGGCTGGGCTGCCCTTCCCCTATTTCTAATTCCTGTATAACCCCAGCCATTTTGGCTACCAGTCCTTTTTTGCCTCTTGGCAGGTGGCTGTTCTTGGTTCCCGATCTCCTGGGCTCTTGGCTTCTGGCTCTCCCCTCCCATTTCTCCCACATGGCCCGATTCAGTCTGTCGGGCATGTTCACTCTGGACTCTCAGGTGTCTCTGCCTCTGCTCTCCCTCATTCCTACAATAAATCTACTCTCCACCACACCTCGGAGCATCATGGCTTCATTTTCATTTACAGACATTGTCCCCCAAGACAAACCTGAGCAGCTTCCTGCACTCCACCTGCTCATGACCACCTGTTAGCTGTCCCCACCGCTTTCTAGTCTCTTTGGATTGTCCTACAGGACACTTGAGGTTTCAAGCTAGCTACCAATCACTCTTGCTCTCACTCTCTCTTTGGATCTTTGTCTCAAGGACACCGTTTCCTCCATGGAGCCTCAGGACATGTCCCGTCCTCCACTTACCCACCCACTTTTGCCCTCCTTGATCTCCTCTGCTGCTCCCCTGTCTGGACTAAGAGCATATGCTAAACCTCGGCAACAGCGCGGGCAGACCCTGTTCTCACATTTTGCAGTGATTGATTTAAAGAAAATGATATCTGTCATGCTGTGGTGGCACAGGCCTGTAATCTTAGCATTCAGGAGGCTGAGACAGGAGGATTGCCATGAGTATGAGGCCAGCCTTGGCTGCAATGGGTATCATGTTTTCCAGGGCCAGCAAGACAGTGTCTCTAGAAGAAAAGGGGGTGGTGTCTGGCTGCCAAACCTGAGGACCAGAGCTTAATCCCCAGGTCCTGCATGGAAGGAGAGGATCAACTTCCAGAAATTGTTCCCTGCCCTCCACACATGTGCTCTGGCACATCCCTGCACACGAATGTACACAGGAATTAAATGAATGAAAGAATAGTTATGTGAATTTTCAGAGCATTAAAACCTAAGAAGAGAGGGTACAACTACTGGTTTTTTAATGAGATTAAAAGCCGTCATCTAGATAACTTAGAATATAAGCACACTTTCCCCTAAAATGCTTCAAGTACACAGTGAATTTCTTGCATGGATCTCATGGATAGTGATCCAGACTCTTCCAGGAACTTTGCTGTTGTTGTGATGGCTGATACAATGGGCCATTCCCACCCTTTTCAGCTCCTTCCACACTCACTCCTCTCCTTACCCAACTGTCCATGTGTTAGCAGAATCACAACAGGCTCAAGCATGTGAGCTGCAAGAAGAAGAAGAAGCCTGGCCTGGCTAGGGAGCTATCAGACATTGGGCCTTTACTTGGCAACAGTTACTCGAACTCCAAGAAAACGGCCTGTGTTCCTAGCCAGTGTCTTCTCTCACAACTGCAAACACGGGGCCTCCTCACCGGCATCTATTGCAATACCCTGAGGGTAACCTCGGCTCAAGCCTTCTAGATTAACCTCAGCTCAAGCCTTCTAGATTTGCACCAATACCAGAAGCGCACTCTTCCTCTGCTTCCTCTGCAGCCCCCACCTCCCTGTGTAGTATCAACCCTGGCTACCTTAGGCTTCTTGGTGAACCTCATGCTGTGTCTACAACATTTTCCAGGACTAGTCTGCATTCATGGCCCAGGTGGAGACTTACTCCCCATAAGTCCCCATGTGTATTGGGCACACTCCTATTTCACCCAAAGCCCTCCAGAAAGTCATCTGCCAGTCCTTCTCAATTCAGCTAGAAGAAGCTGCCACTGTGACCTACTGGGAGCTCTGAGCCTATACAGGAAAAATATATACAGCCCAGGCTAGCCCTCAAGACAGCTTGAAACTTAAGCAAAGAACTCCTCAGCTCCACCAAGGAAAGCCACAGCTGTCCTCGAAGCTGGGAGAGGGTTGTGAAGAGAGCCAGAAGAGG